TGCCGCCCCGCCCCCCCAGCGCTCAGCTGCAACGAGAACGACGCGGAGCACCTGGACCGCGACCAGCCCTACCCCAGCAGCCAGAAGACCAAGCGCATGCGCACCTCCTTCAAGCACCACCAGCTGCGGACCATGAAGTCTTACTTTGCCATTAACCACAACCCCGACGCCAAGGACTTGAAGCAGCTCGCGCAGAAGACGGGCCTCACCAAGCGGGTCCTCCAGGTCAGCGGGGCCGGGGCGGGGCCCGGGGCAGAGCCACGCGGCGGGCTCTGGGCCTTGGGAGGCCTCCCCAAGCCTGCCTTCCCGTCGGTTACCTCTCCGCGCTCGTTCTCCATCTCTTCAGTCTGTCTCTGTTTGTATTTCAGGCTATTTTTTTTTTCTAACTTTACAGCCTCTCTCCCCTTTAATTTTTGTCTCTTAATTTTTCTGCTGTGTGTGTGTGTGTGTCCTGCTGTCCCCTTTGTCTCCACACTGTCTCTTGTCTTTCTTGTAAACAACTCAGATTTGCTATTTATTACTCAAATGAAACTCATCTATGTAAAAGGTTCAAACGTTTCAGGTCAACCCGGAGCCCCTCCCCGGCCCCTCACCCCGAGGCCGCTGCCGTTAGCCGTTAGCTCCTGCTCCTCGCCCCTCGCTGGCTCTCTCTAGTTTCTCTCTCTTCCAGTCTCTCTCTAGATATTTCTTCTGTCTCTTTGTTGTTTCTAAGACTCTCCCAGAAGCAGGGTTTGGTGAGGAGGGTGGGTGTGGGCAGATCCCCTGGGCAGGCCGGGGGGCCGCTCCCAGGAAGGGAGCTGGAGGAAGTACATGGGCGCCCCTGAAACTCAGCCAAATTGTACTTGCCTATGAGGGTGCTTTCTTCTTTTTATCTGTTTTTATTGAATTTATTGGGTGACACTGGTTAATAAAATTATATAGGTTTCAGGTGTATAATTCTATAATATGAGGGTGCTTTCTTGATAGAGAGGATCCAGAGCCTTCACCAGATTTCCAAAGGGCCTATTCATCAGCCCAAAGATGGTAAAAGCTCCAGTTTGGGAGTCGAGGCTGCTGTGTGACTCAAACGGGTGGCAGAGCTTTGGGGGTTACCACGTCCTCCTGTTACTTACCGGGCAAGTCACTGAACTCCCCTGAGCTCCGGTTTCCTCATATGTGAGAGGGACACAAAACATGACCTACACCCCAGGCTTATTGGAAGAGCCACTGAAATGATCAAGTGGCTGATGCATAACCGTGGTTGATGCTTAACTGCCCCGTGTGTGGTAGCCAAGAGTAACTTTAACTAGATTAATCAACTGACTGATACTAACTTGTATGAAGGATTACTCTGGTCACTGGACTTCAGTGTCCCCAGTCCTACAGTACGGAGGGAGAATATCCCCTTTATAGCAAATCTAACCAGTGTATTCCTCAGAATGTGTGGTTGTGGGGATAGCGATGCACATTTTTGGGCATGAAAATTGACAGATGAAGTGAGGACAGGAGGAGAGGTGCTGGGATTCCCGTCCAGGCCAGTCTGGCCCCACCCTCTAGCTCCAGGTCGTTAGGGGTTGAGGGGCGAGGCAGGGGGAGGCGACACCAAAGGAATGATGGTGACAGTGCCAGACAAGGAGGGCTGCATAGCCGCCCCAAGTTTTCCTGCGAATTTGTCAGGAAACAGAAAAAGGGGGGGGGGCCTTTTGGTGGTGATGGGAGCGATGTTGGGGTGAGACTGTGTCTTGGGTGAGGGGCTGCGGTTCTCTGGGGAGTGGGGAGCCTTGGGCGGCTTGGTGACGGAGGGAGGGAGGCAGGGCTGGCCAATGGGGTGCTGATGCGCCTCTCTGGGCCCGCCCTCCACCCGAGCTCAGGCTGCTCCCTCGGGCCCTGTCCCTCCTGTTGGGATCTGTTTTGCCTGAGGGTCTCTCTGGCCTGGGGACGGCTGCGTCAGTCCGAAACCTGGACCCTACCCTTGTCTGTTTCCCTTGGACTTCATCTTCTTGGGGTTAGGTCAAGGGACCTTCTTTGGGCACCCCATCTGTTTCCAGCCCTGGGTGAATTTGGACTGAGGATTCCAAGCCTCCGCCTTTACTCTGGTTAGTAGGATACTTTGTTCCTTCCCCTATTTAGATGCCCATGTGGCCTGTTAGTGGGCGCTGTTTTGTGAGTCAGTCCCTGGGAGCATGCTGGGAAAGGAGCAGGGACTTGGAGTCAGACAGAGCTGGGTTCAGGAAGACCTGGTTTGGTTCCTCTACTCACTAGCTGTGTGTCTTGGACAAATTAATTACCCTCTCTGAGCCATAGCTTTCTCATCTTTAAAATGGGCACCCTTAGGCCACATACCTCTCTCAGTTACCCAGATTACATGAACTAGAGTCAGTTCCCATAGCTGAGTCTGAATCTGGAACCAGCAGGAACCAGTCTCTGTTGGTCTTGGTGAGGCAGGAGGCTTGGTTATGTGATTTAGGAGCAAATCGGATTTTCAGCATAGTTATCTCTCATTCTTTCATCTGACCAAATGTCTGTTAGCACCAGGCCCTGGGGATTCAGAGATGAATGAACCATAGTTGTAGCCCTGAGGAAAATCACCTATGAGGTGTAGAGGCAGACCCACATTCAGTTTATCATAGTGTGATCAGCTGTGGGGGTTCTTTGGGAGACCAGGGGAGGGACCAACTACCCTTTGTATGAGGAATGGTTCACCTGGGGGGCCTGGGTGAATGCTTGCCCTGTCCCCTCCCCTAGAACCCTGTGAAATACATTTGCCTATTGAGTCCTCAGTGTCAGGCGTTATGACCTCTCCACCCCAACTGTCCAGATGAGAATATGGAGGCCCAAATGATTTCCACTTGCCACAAGTCACACTTTGCTGTAAGTAGCAGAGCTGGATCCACATCCAGGCCCATCTGATCAATGGGCATTGCTGTTCTCCTGTAAGCCAATCCAGCAGTGACTACCTCGGAGTGTATCATCTAGGGTGGGGGAGGTCATACCTGTAAGGCATCCCAGACCACTTTCTCGCTCTTCCCAGACCTCCACATCTCCTGCACAATCCTTAATATTCCCTAACAGCACGACTGCTCATGATTCTGCAGTAGATTTTCCAGCATTATTTTTCCAGCCACTCTTCTACCTCACCTTAATATTTTCCTGCCCATTTTATAGATAAGAAGCTTAAGACCTAGTGAGAAGAAGTGACTTGCTTGAGGTTACAGGAGCCAGGCATTGGCAGGGTGGTACTCTCTCCCTGGTGTCCTGACTGCTGATGGGCCAGCTGGGGAAGGTGAGATGGGAGCAGATTTGGGTGAAGCAGCTGGTGGTGTGGCTTTGGAAGGTAACAGACTGGTTCAAATCCTTTCTGACTTACCAGCAGTGTGATTTGGACACTTGAATTTCTCTCTGAGCCTAATCTGTGAAATGGAGATGATAATAGTTGGCACCTTGAGGCTTCCTGAGGATTGGGACAATGAGCGCTTCTGCTCCAGCACGGTACCTGCTGGTACAAAGTAGGTGCCTGGGAAATGGTTGCTCATCACTGGTCTACACCAGCTGAACGGTACTAGGCCTTGGGTGCCCCCTGCAGGTTGTGGTCCACCTCAACCCTCCAGAGGGACACGTTGAGGTCAAGACTGTGTTCCCAGAGGTGGGTGATGTAGGGTATGTGTGTTTCCAGCCTGTTATTGCATCTGTAATGCAGAAGTACCACCAATATGGCAGTCCTGGGATGCACTACCTCCGCTGAAATTTGGAGTCAGCTGATGTGAGGCCCAGACTCATCTCTCCCATTTTACTCTCTGACTGATCCTGAGAAGTGACTTAACCTCTCTGAGCCTCAGTGGCCTCAGCTATAAGATGCAGGTGATAATAATACTTCACTCTGTGGTTGCAAGGAATAAATGAGATAAAGTGTAATTTATAGGATACATATTAGGGCCTCAATGCATGTTAATTTACACACATTGACATATCAGGGTTAAGTCTACCAACTTCTTTTGCAGACATTTAAAAAAAATTATCTTCAGTTTGCAGATGAGGGAATGAAGTTCAGAGAGGCTAGGACCCTGACCCTGAGCCTCACCCTAGTAAGTGATGAAGCCAGGGTCTGATTCCATACATAGCTTTTTGCAGTGTAGCACAGTGTAAGGATTGTGATCCCCCACTTTGGATCTAGCTGCAGAATGCAGCAGGACAGATGAGGGAGAGGGAGGAAATGGCTCGGAGATGCCACATCTTGCTAGGAAAGCGGAAATCCTGTTGTAAAGCCGTAAGTGCATAAAAAGTGCTCAACTTTGTGATCTTCAGCAGCATGACAACCATAATACTGACTTTCCATCAGTGGGCAAGGTGACCGGGAGACAGAATGGCCCCTTGGACAGAGGTCCATTGAGAAACTAAGCTTTGCAAATGCTTGGAGACCATTTCTCTGCACTTGGATGCCTCTCTGAGTCGCCTCCCAGTGTTAAAATGCCCTGGGCTTGGGGAGGGGGTGATGGGCTGAGTGATCTGGATGGGGAAGGTCTCCTTAGGGGTTCCTGGTGTGCCTTTGAAAGAAAGTACATCTTAACCACCAACAGTTTGAAAACATCCTTGAGATGAGGAGTCATCCTTAATCTGTGTGGGAACTCAGGAGGTGAGACGCCGGCCTTCCTCGGTTCACTTGCTTCCCCAGCAAACGCACTGGCCTCCTGCCATGCCCTGGGCGCGGAGGGAGCACGGAGGAGTCAGTGACGCGAGAGCAAGTGGGCCCCCCGGGCGCCCGCTCCGGGGGGAGGCAGGTGCAGCAAGGCGGTGCAGAAATAACACGGCGATAAGATGAAACTCTATATTTTTCTCTATATGCGAAACATCTCATAATAAAAATATTTTTTAAATGATTCTGGGATCAAATAAGTTTGGGAAATGCTAATGGTTAACTATCATTGTCTTGGAGATCAGAGCACGTTAGCATTAATACCGCCACTGAGAAATCTTGGAGAGACTCACCTTTATCTGATCTAACATTTTCACACTTATGTGGCCACAGAACCCTTGTTTAACTCTTGACAAAAATTAAGTAGAAGTGCTCGGAAGGAAAAACACAGGGCTGCAGTAAGAGCATATAATGCAGTGACCTGACTTGGTAAAGGAGGTAATCGGGGATGGCTTCCCTGAGGAGGTGAGGTTTTAACTGGGGCCAGTCACTTTGGTCCTTTGAGCCTTAGCTTCCCCACCTTTAAAATGGGGAGAGTAAGCATTGTTCTGCCTGTCATTTGCACAGGGCTGTAGGGAGTGTCCAGTCTAGTCACAGATGGTTGAAGCCAGATGGAGTTTCATAGAAGAGAGGAAACCAAAGCTCAGAGAAGTGGAGTGACTCTTCCAGGGCACCACAGCAAAGTAGTTGTAGTCCTGGGCTAGAACCAAGGGTTCATGATATCCATCCAGTCCACTGCTTATTATTTTTGGTTCCTTAAAGCCTTTTAAAAATTATTTAAAATAATAGAACCACCACATAGACAGGTTGGAAAAATAGGAAAAAATTACCCATATAAGAGTGCTGGAAACCAATAATCCAGGCGTACAGTTTAGAGGTTAAGTGGCAGGCAAGGGCATGAGCCCAGCCTGCCAAAATTCACATCTTAGCTCCATCTCTTTGGTTGGGCAGTTTCCTCACATGGCAATAATATTAGTGCCTACCTTATGAGGCCTTATTATTATGAGTTGATATGTGTAAAATGCTTAGGACTTTGCTTAGACAGTGCCTGCACTTAGTGAATGACTAATATTCATGATTACTATCCTTGCTTTGAAGTTTCACTACATATAATTTTTTAATTCTTTTTTTTTTTTACATAACATTTGTCATAAGACACTTCCTCTTCAATTGAGTGGAGTGGCTGTGTCATGACTTCTACTCGCCCCGTCTGGTGGGATCCTTGGGATGCAGCCATTAGTTTGATGTTATTTTTAAAATGCCACAGTGGACGTGCTTGGGCGTGAAGCATTTACCTTTTTTGTGGTTTTTCTGAGACCCAGGAGCGAATTCGTGGGGCAAAGTGGGTTTCTCACTGGCCCTCCTGGTCTCCTTGATGAAAGAATCCTGGGGAAAGGGATTTGTGAGGCAATACACAGCCTGCAGGGCCAGTTGGTGCCTGAGAAGGGTGCACACAGCAGTGTGGGTTTCCACATCCACCCAGGACTCACCCGGGATGCCCTGTGAACCAGGCCAGGCACTCCCCACAAATGAGAGAGGGCTGTCGGTTTCAGAAGATGGGTGGATGGAGAAGATCATCTCCTTCCTTGTTGCAGCTGCCCAAGAATCCCAGTCTGTTTGAACCCCAAGAGGCCATAGCAATCATGTCATGTGGTCCAACCCTCTTGTTGTTCAAGTGGGGAAACTGAGGTAGGCCAGAGGTAAGGGACTCACCCAAGGTCACTTGGCTGGTCAGTAACAGAACCAGAACTGGAAGCACCATCCAGTTCTCTTCCCACTGCACCACAGTTGCTTTTTCTATTGATTGATTGATTCATTCACTTACTTACTCAGGAATAGGTGGTAGGGAGAGCATGGACTCTTCATGGCAGATAGTCCTGGATTCCTGGATTCTAATGCCAGGTTGGCCTGTGTGACCTTGGACAAGAGACTGCACCTCTCTGAACCTTTCTGGCTTTAAATCTATAAAATGGGAGATAATGATAGTATGTCCCCTGCCTGGCTTATCATGGAGATCACCTTTGACTCTGCATGTTAGATGGTGGCGTGATGCTTGGCACATACTAAGAGGTCCACGAATGTTGTGTTATTATTAACACATGTTACTGATTCTTAATCTCTGCCAGTACCTGTGCCATGTCGTGAAGATGACTCAGACAGGGTCCCTGTCCCAGCAACCACCTGGGAGGGGACTTTATGAAAGGCCTGGGAGAGAATTGTGGTGAAGCCCTGCTTAAGATGGAGAACAAACCCAACCCAAAACCCCACGGCAGCTGCCTTTCAGTTGAGTTGCTGGTTACCTTCCACCAGATTCCCAGTGCTTCCCCCCCAGTAAGGCAGAGACGGCACTTGTGAAAGATGGTGTCATTATTTATAAACCACTGTTAGGGGCAACAGTGGAAAAATAGCAAACAGCCCACAGCTAACCAACCAGTTCCAGCCCTTCCCGAGGGTTTTGACTCCTGGATCCATGAGCCACTTGCCACCCCCAGGGCTCCTCGTTCCAGCTGCCACTTGGACAGACAGACACGCAGGCCAGGACAGTGGCAAAAGTTGGCATGAAGGCTCCAGCCTTCCTCATCTGCCATGAGACTGGGGAAGTCGCCTCCTCTCTCTGAGGGCCTCTAGGGCTTTCTCCGTTCATTTTCTCCATCAGCCACTCCCTAGACCAGCTAGAAACAGTCTCACGCTTGCAGACTTGGAGGCCGGGCAGAGGACCTCCCCACCTCAAAAAGAGCATGTGGAGGGTGTTTTAGAAGCTCTGGACTTACTTGCAAGCCTCCAAGAGGTGATGGGCTTGCTCTGGGCGAAAGGCCAGGGAAAATGTGCTTTGTTTCCCGACTTCACAGGGTCCGTGTCTCCCTCCTCACTCCAGGATTCCGGAGGCTGTGCTTTTAATTGAGCCCAAATTGTATTAGGCCACCAGAAAGGCTGCTGTGAAGCCATAGGCCCCTGTAGCTGGGGTGGTCCGCAGGAGAGGGTGGGGCCAGGCAGCAGCCCTTCCCTCCCGTCAGAGACACTAGGAAGACAGGCAGATGCAGGCACATCTGGAAATTCGCAGCTGGACACCCGAGAATCTGCAGAATCCTCCAAGGCCCTGTGTTTTATGGGGAGGCTTCTGGCGGGTGTTTTCCTCACGCAAAGGGAAGTGAGGGGGCCCTGCCTTTCGGGCTTGTTTCTCTGAGAGATACAGCCCCTGAGCCCTCCCCCCTCCCCCACAGTGGCCTGGATTTCCTAGGCCTTGGAGGACCCTGGATACAGCCAGGTCTCTGTGCAGTGGGCATATTTGGGGGATGGGGCTGTGTAGAAGAGTTTCTATGTTTGTCTTCATGAGTGTGCACAGGCTTGTGTGCAGAGGTGTGGGTGTGGATGGGTGCGTGTGTCTGCACCTCAGGAATAAGTGAAAGTGACCCCTCACTCTGTCCCTTTGGTGTCCTTTTCATACCAAGCTCGGTTCCAGCTGCGCAACCTACCCCGCCTCCCTCAGGAATGGCGCTGGGACGTGGCGGTTGGGGATGGGAACCTGCAGGTCACGGCCTCCTTGGCCTTGCTCTGCCCTGCCAGCTGCTCCCCTTCTGCCCACCCTGCCCTGAGACCTGAAACCCAGGGTCCAGGATACTGGGGGCTGCTCTAGCAGGTGGTGGCGGGGATGGGATCAGTGTCCTTTTCTTTCTCTTAGTAATTCTTTACCGCCTGATTCCTGTATCTTTACACCATTCTAGTATTTCCCAGACTTAGTGACCCTGAAACACGTTAAAAATTGTACCAACAAGAACCTGTGGGATCTGTTGTGTATTTAAAGGTGGAAAAAATGAACCTCTCGACCGTTGTGAAAAGCAATCAAGGTGTGGTTTGAAGGAATCTTCCAGGACAGCGCTGTCTAAAAGAAATGCAACATGACCACATATATAATTTTACAGTTAAAAATTTCTAGTAGCCGCCTTAAAAAAGCAAAAGGAGACTGGTAAAATTAATTGTAGGGATATATTTTGTATAGCCCAGCATATCCAAATGATGATCATTTCAACATGTAACCAGTCTAAACATTATTATTGAGAAAGCCTACTTTTTTTTTTTTCATATTAAATCTTCAGTGGCTTGTGTGTTTTCACCTAAAGACTAGCCACATTTGCACTAGTCACATGTCACGTGCTCACTAGCCATATGTGGCAAGTGGCTACGATACTGGAGAGTGTGGCTCATCTCTGGAACCTTCTGGCAGAAAGGGAGACCCAGTAATAGCCAATGAAAGAAAAGGAAATCTTTATTTTATTAAGAGCAAAATACTGCCAGCCCGACCTTTAACTCTCCCCTCCGAAAAACACCGAGGGGCATCTCTGAGTTCAACATAGGGGCAGGCCCCGCTCTTGTCCCCTGCCCGCCCCCTAACCGGCCCGTCCCTCTCGCCCCACAGGTCTGGTTCCAGAACGCCAGGGCCAAGTTCAGGCGCAACCTCTTACGGCAGGAAAACACGGGCGTGGACAAGTCGACAGAGGCGGCGCTGCAGACGGGGACCCCGTCGGGGCCGGCCTCGGAGCTCTCCAACGCCTCCCTCAGCCCCTCCAGCACGCCCACCACCCTCACAGACTTGACGAGCCCCACCCTGCCAACTGTGACGTCTGTCTTAACTTCTGTGCCTGGCAACCTGGAGGGCCACGAGCCTCACAGCCCCTCACAAACGACTCTTACCAACCTTTTCTAATGACTGGCACCCCGCCCCCTTTCCCCACAATTTCTTTAAAAAAGAAATTATCTTTAGTTGAATTCCAAGTGTATTTTAAAATAGAGGCTTTGAGCAACTAACTAACCACATTTTAGGATCTCGCCTGGAAACGGAGGAGACAGCGCGCCCGGCTGACGCAGCGGCGTGGACGGAGGAGTTACTTGGAAGATCTATCTGCAACACAACATTTGTGTCACTGTACAGTTTTGTGGACTGAGCGAGCAAGAACAACAAGTAATTTAAGTTGGCTAGAGCTTCTGTATTTTCAAAGACTGCCACGTGCCTTAGGAATACTGTTTTATCTCCATACTTTGGACGACTTATTCATTTTCTCTCCCTCTTTTTCTCTCTGTATATTTATGACCAGAGCAAAAATGTAAAAAAAAAAAAAAAAAAAAAAAAAATTTTTT